ACACACACACACATATATATATATATATGTGTGTGTGTGTGTGTGTTGTTTTGATAAAGTATGTGTACTTTATTTGCTTTTTGTACCAAAGATATAATTAACTATAACTCTCACACGCAGTGATCTGACATACCTGTGGTATGGTTTGTTTCATTGCTTTTTGCAAAATAAAGCTATTGGATGAAATAGTTGGATATCAAAATCAACTTTATACAGATTATGTAGCTTCTGCCAAATAAAACTTTCCTATAAAGTTTTTTATTTTAAAAAACTGTAAATTTTATACCAGGTTTGATTCAAAAAACATCACATCCCAGTTGCACTGTTTACAATCACTAGGATGCAATAAAAGTAACTTTTTTACCAATCAGATTTATAAACAAGATATTTTTTAATTGTTAATCAAAATATTTAATTTAATATATGTAATAAGTTTTAAATCTGTTTTATATTAATTATATATACTCATTTTTACATTTATTTTTAGTGATTTTTTTTTGCCTATTCAAGCAGTTTCTTAGGCCAATAAGGTCTAATATAAATATGGCCTAATGCAGCTGTCTTGTAAGCAAAACAAATCTCGAAACAATAGAGAGCAAAATGATTTAATTATGTCTATCTCATTTTGTAGATCATTGGCTATCATAATGTAACACCATAATTCATATGAAATATTAAGCAATAAATCAAGCTTTAAAAAAAAATCATCAGAAATGTAATTGCGGAAGAAGTTGTTAAACTTATTTTCTTCTATAAGAAAATCACCAAACTAAGCTCTAAGCTTTTATCCTTTTGTTTCAATATCTAAAGTAATCTCTACTAAACTGGAAGATATATTAGATGGGTAGGTCACCAGCCTATGACTTCTCAAAGCTGAAATATAGGCAATTACATCACATTATGACAACCAAAGTTGAGAAGCAGTAACTGTCTAAAATTGATAAAATTACACTTTTACTGAAGTTACAAGGTGCAAATTAGCACCAATTTATTAAAAATTATTTTGAATTTCATCCTTGGGGTTTCCAATGCCATATTATTATCAGACAAAATTTGGGAAATTCACTGTACACTAATGTTGAGTATGCTGAAATCAATTCAAAATCAAAATATCCGATTTTTTTTATTTTTATGTATAAATTAAATAACATTTTTTTTAATTGAATAAATTCAAAATCTGAAGTTTTTCATTTAAAATGTATGTGTGGAAGAGTAACTACAAGTTCATTTTTGATAATTTTTAAATTCAATGGTGCATTTTTTTCCTTGGGGCAGGAAGCACCCATTTGAGTATGATAGAGTTAATGAAGAATTAAAAATTACCTGACAAAATTACATAAGAAACATTTTGAGAAAGGCTGATTCTTATTGAAAGTTGCAGGTTTTAAATGTTAACCCTCATGCCACAAATTATGTGCATGAAGGTAATGGTAAACCTATAACAATGCAATTCTTTGTGGGGATTTAACAATTTTCATGGTAATGTGAATAATATACTAAACATAAGAGAGCTCAGTTTTACAGACTGAATTCTCACCCAGACTCTCGAGCCTGAACGTCCAAGTTTTCTTGTTGCAACCTTTCTTTTTGGACAGTAAGTTGTACATTTTGAGCTCGAAGAATATCAACTCCTTCAAACAAATGATTACCTGAAAAAATAATATTGAAAAAAATATACTGCCAGTTATAGAAATAAACATAATTAAATAATCTATTTCAAATGAATAAAATTCCCATAAAAACACATGTAACACTAAACAATGTTCAATGTTATGGAATATGTACATATTCAAAGACCATTAGAACTAGGCAATTAACTCAATAAATCGATATAATCAATTACCTGATAATATTGATTAGTGCCAAGTAAAATAATTAATCAATCAAAATTATAACTGACACAATTAACATCACCAAAATAATCAACTAGTCTTTCTTATTACTACTGCTTTTGATTATTTCAACTATCCAGTAACTGAAATTACGATTAAATCTATCAATATCATGTAAATAATCATATAATTCAAATTAATGTTTTCATTCCTTATTGTTTTCAATTATTTCTACTATCCAGTAATCTAAGTATTGCCATTATGATTTCCATTATTATTTTTGATTAATTCAAGTTTGTTCAGTTTAATCAATTATTGTCATGACTCATGAAATTAATCAACTAATCAAAAA